TATATATCTAATGAAGATTATATATGTAGAAGATAAGTACCTTAATATGTACGTAAATTTTAATGAAATTTATACAACATTATAAAAATTTATGAATAAAAACTTGATATAAAATAACATTTTTTATTTTTACTAAGAAAAAAAAGGTTTTTGATAATAAATTTTTTTTCGAAAAAGTAACAATAATCGTAAAAGGGTATTGATAGGCTTGCTAAAGTAACTAATTTTAGCTGTCAAATACTTTTGTATTTTGAAGTAAATTAGTATAAATTTGTTTTTACTTTTATTTCGAAAAAGTAGCAATAATCGTAAAAGGGTATTGATAGGCTTGCTAAAGTAACTAATTTTAGCTGTCAAATACTTTTGTATTTTGAAGTATATTAGTATAAATTTGTTTTTACTTTTATTTCGAAAAAGTAACAATAATCGTAAAAGGGTATTGATAGGCTTGCTAAAGTAACTAATTTTAGCTGTCAAATACTTTTGTATTTTGAAGTAAATTAGTATAAATTTGATATTATTTTAACTCCCTTTGAAAACCTCAATTTTCCATACAGAGGGAACGGGAATAGCATCCAATATCCCCTGAGAATGGTTGCGTATTCTCAGTTCCCTCTATATTTCGAACGAAGCTCTCATCGGTCTTTTTTTTAATACTAAACGTTTTTTCCCCTGTCACTTTTAGCTAAAATTTGGGTTTGCCCTTGTCGGACGATAAAAATTTTTTACACACAAGATTTTTCTTGGTGAAAAAGACCATCTTCTGTAATAAACAGAAATTCATCAAAAGTGATAGCTCTCAATTTTTTGACATTTGTAAATTCTAAATTGAATGAGAAAAATGAAATAATACTAAACATAATACAATATTCTAGATTTAATTATAATTAGGAAAAAGTTAGTTTTGAGAGTACTTTTCATAGGCATATAGAATGAAATCTTCTGAAAAATAATATCACATAAACCCATATTATTTTCTAATATATAACTATTTTATATAAAAATCAAATTCAATGATCTTAAAAGCGAATGATAAACCTCAAAAATTTACGAATATAATGAGTAATAAATTAATCTATCATTAAAACCATATGAAATATCAATTTTTTGCTTTACCCTAATTTTTGCGGACAATTAGCAAAAAATGTTAAATGTTAACACTCAGTCCATTTGAATATGAAAAATAAAATTGACTTGATTAAATGTTTTTATTTATCATGCAATTCTTCTTGCGACCAAAGATTTGAATAAAAGTTCAAAAAATAAGATAGCTTAAAAAATAATATACGGTAGTGTTTACTAATAGATGAATAGTATATAAATTCTATTAAAATGGATTTGATCAAAAAAAATATATAAATTTTGATCATAAATAAAATCGTTTTAAATTACTTCTTCATTTAAATTATAACAATTATTTTTGGTTTTATATTTTTTTGGATCAAATCCATTTTAATAGAATTTATATACTATTCATCTATTAGTAAACACTACCGTATATTATTTTTTAAGGATACCCTTACGTGTCAGATTTTTTGCGCATACGAAGAAGTCATGCTAGACATGAGCTATAAACCTGAAATTTTAGCAACATATTTAAAACTTTTTAAACTACAATACACTTTAATATTCAAGAACAAAAATATTCTTTTTAGAAATTACATAATTATTTTATGTGAAATCTCTATAAAAACATATTTTGCGAGCGTAACTTTTTTCTTTATAAGCACCTTATATGACTGATAAACTGTGAAGGCACATAATTGTTAATTCATAGAGTTGATATGTTTCCAAAATTGAGAGGAAATTTGAAAATTGAATACCCTTTCAATTCAATTTTCAAAGATATCAGCTCCTTCAATAATTGAAGGACGATTTTGATCATTTGCTCTTAAAACAAGTATGCCATGGAGAAAAAAGTTACGCTCGCAAATCTGAAATATAAATATCATATAAAAAAATTAAATTTCTAATTTTTTACTCTATAGATATTATTGGCCACTTGTGTAATGCATAAAAGTTTATGTCATATGCATACATTTGGAAGTATGGGAGACGAGGGAAATTACTTCTATGAGGCACTAGGATTTTTAAAAATTTCTCTATCGGACTCACCATTCAATTTCTCGAAAATTAAAAAAAATCAATAATAGCTAAAATGTATTATGCATAACAAATTTTAATGTTACACGGTATTTTTTGAACTTCATGACATGAATTTTCTTTATATTATTTTTTTTTTTTGGATTTTCTATGATTTATGCGATAGTGTTGTAAACAGAAATTCATCAAAAGTGACACCTCAGAAAAGCTAAAATATTGAATTTTTGGAACTTTTGATAGAGCACGTTTTTAAATATTAATTTAAGTAAATGTATATTTTGTAAAGATTCTTTTTAATAAAAAAATAAAATTTTGAAGAAGAACACAAAATCTTCTGAAAAATAATATCACATAAACTCATATTATTTTCTAATATATAACTATTTTATATAAAAATCAAATTCAATGATCTTAAAAGCGAAGGATAAACCTCAAAATTTACGAATATAATGAGTGGGAATATAATGCTTATCTATCATAAAACCATATGAAATATTCCCACTCATTATATTCGTAAATTTTGAGGTTTATCCTTCGCTTTTAAGATCATTGAATTTGATTTTTATATAAAATAGTTATATATTAGAAAATAATATGAGTTTATGTGATATTCTTTTTCAGAAGATTTCATTCTATATGCCTATGAAAAGTACTCTCAAAACTAACTTTTTCCTAATTATAATTAAATCTAGAATATTGTATTATGCTTAGTATTATTTCATTTTTCTCATTCAATTTAGAATTTACAAATGTCAAAAAATTGAGAGCTGTCACTTTTGATGAATTTCTGTTTATTACAATAGGCTGGAACAACATTGTAAGTGCAATGATATCATTTATAGAGAAATCTAAAATTTCAGCATTCAGAACTCGCAACCACAAAAATATTCATTTGCTAAGTAAGTAAAGTTGATTAAGTTCGACACTTAGCTTTTATACGTAAAACCAAGTGTGTATTGTTATTTCTTGTTAAATTATTGAGAAAAAAATAAATTGTAAGAGAAACGATACTGATTATTGAAATAATATTGAGGGTAGCTGCAGACTTCTTCATTAACATGCCGGAATTTTGTTAATCTTGGTTTTCTATCATAAAATCTGTCGAAGAATCTAAAAACGGAGATATGAAATAGAGATCATGTAAATCTAGAGTATCCTGTCAGAAAAATAGACTAAGCATGTAACCCTTTTTTGGTCATAAACACTTTTTACCACTTAGTCATACAGATGATCATTAAATTTAAACGAGCACTTTTTGTCAGAATTTATTCTTTTACAAAGACAGAAGATTTTAGTATTATTTAATATTAGTGCTGTAGCAAAATTCAAAAAACGGTGAAAATTCAGTGAATTTGTGAATTCACATTTTTTTTCGACATTTTTCTTGATATATCCATGCACATTAAGAACACAGCTTTGATACGCTTAAAAAAGCATATTTCATATGAAATTGTTAAAGAAATAAACAATTTATATAAAAATTGCACTTATGGGCAGTTTAGATATATAATTTATATATAACATATATACAAATCCATAGACAAAGTGCAATAACTACAATGTTGTAGAAAATTACAGCAGAAATACTGACTTTTTGAAGGATAATAAGAATTCTTCTAAATGTTGTATTTTTATAATTTGATTGATTTTTTTTACTATTTCTTTAATCTTTTATGAATAATAATTATTTTTAATATATGTGCTATTAAAATTTCAAATTTTGACTAATATATCTAAGTTATCTGAACGAAACATTTAGAAAATATCATACTTACATTGAAATAGCAAGTAGAGCATATTAATAGCAAGTTTCTTGGCTTTATATCTATCATCTATTGTTGTTTGATCAAACAAAATTCACTCTATTATATGGTGTCAATTAATTAAAACAATTTTTAATAGTTATTATTTAGTGCGAATAAGTGCAAACTCATAAATGAATAACTTAATAGTAGAAATGAATTATCTGATATAAATCTCACATTTTGTCCATCAGAAATACTTTAATTGCATACGCATAACTATTAGTAATACGTCTGGAGTGTCAATTAATAACAATCCCACAACAAGTAAAATTCAGATTTTTATTAAACTTATTTTTTCCTAAAAGTTTTCTCAAATTACTATATATACATATGTGGATAAAATAATAGTAATATTGTATAAAATTAGATAATTTTTTTATTTGAGAACCTCTCAAAAGTTCATTCAATTTATCAATTGTTTCAGTTTGATGTATATTCATTTCTGGAGCCTAAAACTTTAGCAATCATGACAATATCATATTCTCTTTCTAACTACGCAATGTAAGGGTATCCTTAAGCTATCTTATTTTTTGAACTTTTATTCAAATCTTTGGTCGCAAGAAGAATTGCATGATAAATAAAAACATTTAATCAAAGTCAATTTTATTTTTCATATTCAAATGGACTGAGTGTTAACATTTAACATTTTTTGCTAATTGTCGTCAAAAATTAGGCGTAAAGCAAAAATTGATATTTCATATGGTTTTATGATAGATAAGCATTATATTCCCACTCATTATATTCGTAAATTTTGAGGTTTATCATTCGCTTTTAAGATCATTGAATTTGATTTTTATATAAAATAGTTATATATTAGAAAATAATATGAGTTTATGTGATATTATTTTTCAGAAGATTTTGTGTTCTTCTTCAAAATTTTATTTTTTTATTAAAAAGAATCTTTACAAAATATACATTTACTTTAATTAATATTTAAAAACGTGCTCTATCAAAAGTTCCAAAAATTCAATATTTTAGCTTTTCTGAGGTGTCACTTTTGATGAATTTCTGTTTACAACACTTCTTATAACAAATCATTATTTACAGCTTACAAATAAAAAACAAAATATATAAATAAATAGGAATTATGAATTAATTTTCAATTTCAACATCCTTACCTCTGACATACAATGATAAAAATTGATATCCGATTGCTCCTCCTCTTGGGATCACATAACACCAATTTTCATCGATCACAACATATTCGCCTTGTAAATCAAGTCTCTTATAAAATTTAAAAGAGGCATGACCATCTCTTCCGAGTGTAAGTGAAACAATGGCAAATCTGATAAATATGATATGTGAATGTTCATGAAGCAGTTCAATTTGGTCTGGCTGAGCTTCTTGAGATTCGCGGTCATTTGCAATGAAGAGGTATCTATTCACATGAGTAATCTTCTTATTCTCGAAATATTCTTTGAAATTTCCATCTTCAGGAAGTTTTAACATGTTAACACATTGAGCTTGATTATTCTCATCAATGAATTGAATCCCGCATAAATGTGGGTTCATAAAAGATGAAATAATGAGTCGTGGATCGCCTTGTTGTTCAAAATGAAGCATATTATATGTTTTTCCTGGTGAAATCGAAGTAGATCTTCCCATACGTTCTAATATTTGTAGGATATGGAGAAGATCTTCTTGTTTGGAATCTTCTTCTCCAACCTGAAACAATTCTAAAACTCTTGCACCATTATCTTCTTCGATTCGAATATTTTCAAGGATAATGATAGTCAAGAACAATTGCATGGCGGCATTTAAGGCGCTTCGAGAATCATCGAGCCTGATGATTTGTGAATTTACCCTCTCTGTGGCATAATGATTGTGACGTCTGATCTCGTTAAATATTTCTGAGTAATGAAGCTGATTGGTTAACAAAACATCAAATCGCGGAGCATATTCCACAGAGTCCATAAAAGATGCTCCGCTTCTTGATGCAAGGCAGTGTATCAATTGATCTGTGAGTTCAAAATTAATCAGATCAATTTAGAAATATTTATTTCATAATATTGAATGAATGTATAAATCTAAATAGTATATTATCAAAAAAAAAATAAAAAATAAAAAAATAAAAAAAAATAAAAATAAAAAATTAATAATAATAGTACCATCACCACAATTAGCAAATTCAAAAGATATATTGTTGCATGCTAAGATCAGTCATAATGTAAACCTCTCAATTTTATTGTCGTGGGAAGTATCTCAATTCCTTCAAAAAAATTGAAAAACTATTTAATTTTAAAAATATATGTGCTTCTTAAAATGAATCAAAAAATTTTTATTATAAAATAATATATAATATTAAAAATCCCACAACATTTTTTACTTTACATAATCGTACTTCCTCGACGATTAATTTCCACTCAATTTCTATCGTTGACCGAACTTAGCATGCAACAATATGAATTGCTATCGATCTCTTTCAAACAAACACATAGAAATTTTGATTAAGTATTTCAAATTTTTATATGAGATAAATATTGAACAGATAAAATATAAAACAATTTTTAATAATAAATATAGATATTTATTTTGTAGCCATTAAAATTTCTCGGCTATCTAATAAAATTTTGTGAGAACGTAATCTTTTCAAATTTAGTATCAATCTTTGGTCTTTTATTGTTCTCTCACATGTTGCTTCTGAAGGTGAAGCGGAGATAACACGAAGGGCGATATCTGCAAAGATTGATACATTGCCATCTCTATGAGAGATTTCTTCCCAACCGTATTCTTGACGTTCTTGAATCATATCATCAGAGAAGATATCATTATCACTATTAATATACGTGTTAAATAGTGTAATAATATCTGTTATTGTTTGACCCGGAATACGAAATTGTTCCAAAATACTTTTGAGATACTGCCTAGCTGCAACAAAATGGTTAACCGGCTGATTTGAACTAGATGTTACATCTGCGAGATCAAGCATAGGAGGGTCAATTGTAGCAGTTACCTGACGAATTGATCCCTCCTCAACCATATCAAGAGAAACTTCAGTCGAACCTTCTTCAAAGATAGAGTCCATATAGATAGATTGAATGTCTTCTACTGGATTAACGAAAGTTACGTTTGTAATATCAAATGAATTAATTGCCGGAGATTCGTTGATCTGCGCTCCGTGGACGAATTTTTGGTTGAAATAATACCTACCTTTCGGTGTAAAAGCGAAGGCTAAGCACCAAAGACCTCCAAAGTCCGATCCAAGGGTATAGTTCAACAACGATCTTGAAAGGATTCCAGCAAAAGGATTGTTGTTGCTGCTGGAAAGGTATTGGAGTGCTTCAATACCCTTGCAAAGCCATACGTAGCAATCAGATATCTTGGTTTTATCTGATTCGAACGTGGAAATAAGCTTCTTGAGAATTGCCAAGCAGTCTCTTAAGAACTTGATGTTTTCAATATCAATACGCGTATATCTTGAAATTTTGTCTTGATACTTGATAATAAACATACAAATATTATAATCATAGATCCACCTGGTGGATACATGCTTTGGACAGAGAGCTCCGATGTCTTCAACATGGATTCTACAAAGAGCTGATATTTCGTGGATATGTTTCACAATTGCTCCTAATGCTACGTCTTTTGTTGTCATATATTGATAACAATTATGAATCCTGTGGCATAAACACGGGATAAACAAGATTTTGAATAACCTTGGGTCATTTGAGTTGTAGAACGATTGATTCCATCCTTTCTGAAAACATTTCAATTGCGCTTTATTGCCATCGCAAACTACACTGCTGATCTTAACATCTCTAATGAAGATTCTGTTAAATCCTTGAGTAAGCGAGTGGATATAATCTTCAGATGTTCCACCATTCATTTGGATTGACTCAACAGGATAGGGCCGCTTGCTTTGCAGAGGATTTGTGAGGGAGAAGTCCAGATTGTGAAACTGCTGAGTCTTCCCCTCATCAATGGCAACACAGGTACAGGCAAGCTTAGCAAACTCATCAACTTTTGCAACATGGATTGAATTTGCAATTTGTATCATTGTTTGCCTTAGTTTGTCAGTTGAAATAGGCTGGTATATTTGAGAAGCTAGTTTATCAACATTGATGTTAACATTGTGTAACTGTGGGAACTTCAATATCATCGAGTCTGCAGTATACATTATAATGGTTTTAACTAGCTTTGTAAACTCTGGGCTTGAGAAGGTATTCAGAGCCAAGTTAAATCTTCCAGTAAATGTAGCAAGCTGTTCATAGATATCCCCTAACGATATAGGTGTAAGCCCTGTTGCTGGGACGTTTTGATAGTATTGATCGATTGTTTGTTGTGATGCTACTTCTCCTGGTGTGCATATGTGCCGTTTGTTTTGGATCAGAGGATCATTTTCGTCAAATTTGTCTATTAGACCATCAGAACCTTTATACTGCCCTTGAAAATATACTGCGAACATAAATGCGTTAGTTCTATTTGAAAACAAAACTCTTCTAAATGCTATTGCCTTTGCATCTGAAGGACTTTGAAGCCAACGAATTGGATAGTCAAACCTGTATGCTCGGGATGAAATTTCTTCATCTGAAATAGTCTACCAGCATTTGTAAAGATATAGTCTAACGGTTTTGTATCTGCTACTTTTGTTCTTTGTTTTTCAACCTGAAGCATTTAATATATGTAAAAATATATTGTTTTAAAATGGTATGCCATATAGCTTCTTGAATTTGTTAAGAAGTATTTGAACGTATTTTCCATCTGTATCTCTAGTGTTTACATAAGCATAGCCCGCCTTAGTAAAATATACTTGTAATTTCCTATAGTTTACGCCGGTATAAAAGTAGAAAGAGTCTTGTTCTTCGCTATAGTAGTAAAACTCAAACGTATGCTTGCCATAGTCTGTAATTTCAATTGTTTCATCTTCTAGTTCGTCGACAAATTCGAATACAATATCTCCAAATTTGCCTTTGTTCTTATTGTTTTCAGAACGAGTGACCCAACGTAAGTTTTCAAGTCTATTGTCGTTTTCTATATGGTTTATATGGTCTACAAAAGGTAAATTGTTAGGATTCAGTATAAAATGAGTTGCAATGACAACATGTTTAAGATATGTGTTTTCCACCCATCTTCATAATAGCATATCCGTCATTTGCGTCCCATTCGCTTAAAACTCTTTTTGTCTTTTTGTTTCTGACTTAAAATGACTCACAACAGTGAATTTCATATTTCTCATCTAACAAACAAGTTTCCTTCAACTTGAGGTTCACTAACATCGAAAGGCATGTCCATAAGACGTTCTTCTTCTAACCTCTCTAGTCTGTTTGGATAATTGGCACGTGTTGTTTCCAAATCCATTTCGTAGCGAAGACCAGACAATTTGTCATAGACTTTTATGGGTCTTCCCTTCCTATATTTAAAATTCTTCGAAACTCTCCAACCATATCTTTGTAACTCTGCTTTTATTCTAGCAGACTTTCTATCCATTCTATATGGGGGCATTTTTATAAAAATAAAAAATTTTTTTTTTCTTTACTTTACATAACCGCCTGCTGCCATAAGTCTTTGACGCCAACCCATACCAGCTAATGAAGGTTGACTTGGTTTAGTTTCCAAACTAAACTTTGGTTTTGGTTTATCTTCAGTTTTTGGTTTTTCTTCTTCTATCGGTTTTTCGTCACTTTTCGGTTTCTCTGACTTTACTTCACTTGCAGGAACAGTTGTGTCGTCAACATCTTCATAAATATCATATGCCATTTGTTTTTGTTTTCCTTTCAACTTTTGTGTTTGTTGTAAAGTTTAGAATATTTCGACTCTAAGTCAATGAGATGTTCTATAATGAACTGTTGGTCAGTGAAGTAAACTTTTCCATCTGTTGTCTCGAAAGCTCCTTCAGACTTCAATATTTTATTTGTGAGAGTCTGTTTCTTTTTGAGATACTAGCGTTCCATTTTTATGAAAAGTGACTTTGTAGTTAGGGTTTGTATTTCCAGACCTGGCACTTTCTATTATTGAATTTTTCTCTTCATCTGTAAGTTCTTTGACAGGTTTTGACAATGGTTCTGAACTTTTTGTTTGTGGTGTCAAATCTACCGTTTCAACTTCTTCGTCATTTCATCTCAGTAAAAATTTTAGTTTGGTTTGTTTTCAACTGGTTGTTGAGGTTTTTTAAGTCGGTCTAAAACTTCCTGAGGTATAGGAAGAACTTGACAAACACGTGGTGTAACTGCTGGAAGTCGACAAATCCATCTTGAACCCATTTGTCTCAATGCTGTATTGTTCATTTCATCTCAGTAAAAAACTTTACATTCCCACAGTTTGGGGCGGTTGAGGTTGGTTATTGTTTACCCACTGTTGTGCATGGTTATATCCTCTGTTAAAGAATCTTTCACCTTGGTCCATATAGTGTCCTGCTTGGTTATAGTAGTCATTTGCTTTGTTATAATAGTTTCCTGCTTGTCTTCCTACATTGTCCATCCATCCTTGAACTTTTCCTCTTGTTTCAGGATTTGGAATAAGATTTGTTGCATCTCGTGCTACATCCCAACCTTTCTGTACAGTTTGTATAATAGGTTGTGCTTTCTCTTTAAGTATACCTAATGTACTCAAAATCTCCTTCCAACTCCAAATACACCTCTGGCTATTGTTCCCACTGCGGGCAAAAATCTGGATGCAACTCCTGCTAATGCGCCAAATAAACCCATTTCTTATGGGTTAAAAAATGACGAATCCAAACAAGGACCCCTATGTTTCTAAAGCGACAAAGAAAGCACTCATGGTAAAAATCTTTAGTTCAACACCAAATGCTTGTTTATGGATATCTTGGAAAACATTCCGAGAGTTAGAACAGATGGACCACCATACTGGCTAATATTTGTCGGTCAAAACACAAGATACTGTGAAGCCATACCATTATGGTCCAAAAATATTTTAGATGTGAAAACTGCTTTGACAATATTCGTTGACAAATACCATCCAACAAAACTGACATCTGACTGTGAAAGTTCTTTCAAATCAGATGATGTAAAAAAACTATCTGCGTTCAAAAAATGTAAACCAATATTTCATTGTCGACCAAAACCATTCTGCTCTTGGTGTCATTGACGGTTGTATAAAAATGTTAAAAGACTTAAACCAACCACAAGGTGGTGAAGCAAATGAAATGTCATATGACGACAAGTATAGACACTTCTCCATGGCAAAGATGAGACAAGTTTTAAATATTTACAATAGCCGTAAACAAAAAGGTTTGGGAAACCACTCCCCCGAAGAAATGAAAAACAACCCTGACTTAGAGAAAGACTATATATTTAATAATTTAGTCAAAAGAGAACAAACAAGAAAGAATGCCGGGCTTCAAACTTCAGAAAGGTGACAAAGTAAAAATAGAAATACCTAAACGCGACATATGAAAATACTATTGACTATGACAACAATGGGAACCCGACAGGTACTCACATTCGTGTTCGTAAAAATAGAAGAAAGTATACAAGAGAATATTATGAAGTTTTAGGCAAACATGGCAAAATGTACACACTGCAAGCAGAAGATAAAACTACTATTGTCAGACCTCGTTTCAAACTTGTCAAAGTTCAAGGTGGTATACTTTCAAAGACAGTTCCTAACAAATATAAGACAACTCCTGACGAATATGCTAAAGAAGTTGAAAATGACGACTAAGCATTTCTATACCATGCGTAAACTGTCATGTAAGGTGGCATGTATTCTTTACTTTGTCCGTTGTTTGCGTATATCCCGAAACGCGATGTGTATGGTTTCCTCCTCCCTCAGTGTTACTCCAGTAACAATTTATAGCAAACTTAACGTTGTCTTTAACATCATATCTTTTACCTTTTGTCATTCCTGACCAATCCAATATCTATGCTTATGCCAACCTGCTTGAGATGTACTTAAATCTATGTAGTGACTGTGTGCAGGTAAATTTTCACCTGAAATCGTTTTACTTCCACCTGTTTCTTTGAGAGTTTGCACAATACAAAAACCTGTCGACTATTTGAGTCCAAGTTCCAAAACCAGAACTGTTTCTGGTCTGGTAGAGTTCATTGACGTATAAATAGAGCCTATAGGATATAATGTTTGAAGTATTTCTGTCTTTAATGTTTGAAGCTCTGTTTTGTCTGCTTTCTGTCATATAAATCTTGAGCAGTGAATTTAATATTATGTTCATCCTTCATGACATAAACATCTTTACATCTAATGTTTCTCATCGTCGTTATGTCGTCATCCGATGTTAAACCTTGTGGAAAGTTAGGAGGTTTACAATATAATGCATCCCACCAGTTTCTTCAACCGTTCCTTCAATACTTTCTATAGCAACAGTTGTGAAGAAATCATGTGTATGGTTCTTGTCTGCTTTCTTTTCAAGGTAACGTTTAAGTCTGTTATTTCAGATATAGAATGTGTATGTCCAACGGCACTTTTCCTGTTTAAGGTTTCTTGTAAGTTTGTAATATTTGCAATGGTATGTGTAGTTCCAACGGCACTTTTCCTGTTTAAGGTTTCTTGTAAGTTTGTAATATTTGCAATGGTATGTGTATGTCCAACGGCACTTTTACTGTTTAAGGTTTCTGTAAGTCTGTTATTTCAGATATAGAATGTATATGAGTCTTTTTAGAATATTCGTTTTCAGCTCTTGTCACTTCACTTGACATTTTATTGTCAACATATGTTTTGTCTGCTAGTTCAGGATGAGTATGTTCTTTTTTGCATAAGCATTGTTAGCTCTTTCTTCTTCTTTTGCTATTGCATCGTCTACATATTCTTTGTCAGCTTTGTTGTCAACATCTGCTTTCAAAAGAAGTTCATTTATAGGTTTCTCGTTTAAAGTTCCTTTTGTTGGATTTATACAGACAGTATTGTTCTTCTTGTCTTGAAATAGAAACTCATCTGTCATTGGGTTTAATGTCAGTTTTAAGTTTCCTTCTTTCAATGACTCAGATATCTTAGAATAGTTTGAAAAGTTTGTTGTGTTCTTATTTAGAGTTGCATAATGAGTTGTCGGTTGTGTTGTATTTCTCTTATGGAAGCAATATCTTTCGACATTTTTATTCTAGATAAAATATGCTTTCAATAGAAAAAGAAAATTCAGTAGTTGCTACAACTAAACCATTAGATGAACTTTTTACTAATGTCGGTCAAAAGTTTGAGACAGAGACCGTAAAGCATGAAGGCTATCGTTTTGACTACCCATTAAGATGGCTAAGAGACCCATCTGTCACAAAAGCTATTGGCTTTCGTAGAATGAAGTTCATTTCAGAAGCCATAACATGGTTTCCCATTTACGGTCGGTTTTGAAGTTCGATACTATAACAAAGAAAAACGTATGTATGAGAAATTTGAACAGGGAAAACTTTTACAAGTTAGTTTGCTTGTAAATTTAGAAACAACTCTTCAAGCTTTTCAAGAAAAAATAAACGATATTATATCGAATATGCAAACCAGTATAACATTGACGAGGGAGAGTACCATCTCGATATTATTTATGAAGGAAAAATGCAACTGTTAAAATCAATAGAATAGAAGACCTTGGAGAAAACGTTTATATTTCTACAAAATATAACAACTTGGCATGGTATAGATTTATGAGGATGTTAAATCAGCCTGCAGCATATCCAGTACACCCAGACTTTTATGAAGTCGAAAACCCTAATGGAACATATGAAAATGTTTTCGACCAAGATGCTATATTGTTCATGCTTCATTTTCTGGCGCCCAAAACTCTTTCTTAGCTTGGCAAATGACTTTTACGAAAAACCTACAAAGTTATACGAACCACCAAGTGGAAGTATTTCAGACTTTCAAGTATGGTTTACTACAGATGGAAGAAAAAGAATAATTCCATTATACCATGCGTTTTACTTAGAACTTAGTTTCATATACAACTACTATCGAACGGTAAAAATATAACTTTTTAATAGGTTGAGGTGTTGGATTTGGTTGCAACTAGACTGTGGTGCAGGTTCAGGCTGTTGTATAACAGGAGCTTGTTCTTCTGGTTCAGGGTCTTTAGGTATAATACCAACAAACTGACCTACCCTTTTACCAATATTTTTGACACCGTTCCAAATTCCTCTTCCTACGGTTTTTATTCCATTCCATATACCTCTTCCAACATTTCGAAAGAAGTTTCCTATCTTACTGAAGAAACCCATTTTACTATATGTAAAAATCTAATGTCCGCCTAGTCTCTTACGTTTCCTGTTGAGTTCCATAGCATTCTTTAACTGGAGCTCATACATTCTGTTTCTCCTCTGGTAGAAAACATATTCTGGGTCAACTCCTGTGTTCGCGTCATCTGCATAAAGTTGTTTATATCCCACTTCAGGGTTTGTATAAAACTCTTTCCATCTCATATTTGCATACCATGGTGGCAAACCTAAGCAGCGTCATTTGACATGGCAGTTTGCATTTGTACATCTGTTGGCACTTGACCATAGTTTGCCATTGCAGTTTGTATTCTAACTTCATTTGGAATATTCTCTGGGTTTGGTTGTCCAGGTTGCTGTGCATTCGCTAAGTTCTGTGCGTCCATTTAATATTAGATAAAAATATCTCTTACGAGTACATATGCTGAACATTTGCAGGCATTGGTTCATCTTCATATTCTCTGTACTTTTCTGCCACGTCAAAGAAATAAATGACACAATGGAAAAAACCTAAAACAAGTAGTCCTATTTCAAACCACATTTACTTACTAATAAAATTTCTTTGTTATGACACTTTCTCCGGTTTATAGGACCTCTCTCATATTCTATCTTGTCATATCTAAACTCATAGTCATGTATGTCCTCTAACCATCTCATAACGGTTTCCAAACCACTTTTATCGGATGTAAAGTAAAAGCATGGATGGTTATGTAAAACGTCTAAAGTTTCTAAAGAGTCTCTCAAAGTCCAGTCTACTTGGTATTGAAAATCCCATGTGTTATAGAACGGCGGGTCCACTATAAAGAAAACATTTTCCTTGTCTTTATATTTTTCATACAACTCTGTCCAATGACATCTCACAAACTCTATACCCTCAATATATTTTTCTATGTCCTCTTTGAAAACATTTGTATAGTTAAGATATAAAACTTTTGACATAAGTGTTTCAATGTCATGAACTCTTATAGAACCACTATATAATAGTCTAGCAGATATACTATCCCAGTCTATATATTCTGCTTTTTTCAAAACCTCTCTCACAATATTTTTGTTATCTAATGGTATACGTTCCATCTTACCTATAGGTATTTTTTCTTTTAACTCTTTCAATATATGTTTGTATCTGGTATATGTTTGAGACGGTCCATATAGTTGTCGAAGTCATTGCATATAATCTTTGAGTCTGGGAATATTGTATGACATAAATGGGATATATAGAAACTTCCACCGAACAAATCTACAAATGTTAGACCATTCGGTAGTTTCTTAAGTTCTCTCAATATAATATCTTTACATCTACTCTTATTTCCAAAGAACGGTAACGGTGGTTTTGTAAAATTCATTTATATATAATAATAAAAATGTTTTTACTCGAAAAGTGACAGAAAAGTGACAAAACATGAAAACATATATAATTTGTGAAAAGTGAAACATTATATAATGTTTTCGACCCAGAAGAAGGCTTCTTCCCAGAAGCAATGGAGGAAGAAGAAGAGTCCTCCGAATTCACACCAGAAGACTAACAATTTTCCGAATAAAAACTTCATTTATACTAAACATCTTCGGGGCTAGAGGGCACGAAGTGCCTGGAAGCCCCACTACCTTTTTTTTTTTTTTAATGATTGTGAAATAACATGTAACTATAATTTAAGAATGCCATATTTTTGTTAAAAAATTTCGAAAAGTGAGATATTTTCCGTTCTAATAAATATATTTGATAACCGGGGTGTCCCCCGGAATCAAATAAATTAGCATTACTAACATTCCTTTTTTATTTAAAATTTTCAATTCTTAAAACAAAGTTTTACTTCTATTTAATTATTTGCCATGAAAGTATAGAACATTAAAAATTCATCCTACTACCTCCACCCTTATAATACCTTCAAAAAAATTATATCTCAATTTATTTTCTATCTTTATATTGATGTGCTTATTCAAAAACACTAAATCATAAGTCTTCAGTTCTCAAAATACTCTCAAATTATCTCATTGCGCATATTTTGAAATTTGATAATTTTAAATTGTTAAAAAATTCATTAATCACAGTAAAATATCTATATACAACAATTAACTAACTGATTCCACATCTTGAACATTCGCATTTATTTAATATATTTGAATATCATTTACATCTTATTGAATTAGATCATAAATCACAGTTCCCTAATATACTATCTAGCTAATCATTATTGTTGCACAACTTACATGTGATTAAACACACGTGTATAATTCTGTACAACTCATATCTCTATCAATACTTTATTTATAATCAAAACAAAGGTTAAAATTGTATACCCTGTCACTGTAGAGTATTCTCCCAACTTTAAAGTGAAAATCAAAATTTGATATTTTAGTAATTTCATGTGAGCTCGTTATTTTATAGGAAAACATACTGAAAATGTTTATAAGATGTTTCTCTATCATATGCCAAAATATCATGGTTTAAATACTCTCCTAAGTGTCTATAACTGAATTTTAGGGCAATAACCTTATTCTAAATGTTGGGAAAGTAGAATTGTGATCGGGGCATATGTCGTGCCATTTGAGAAAAATGTAAGAATGTTGTATGTTCTTGGTATATTTAAAGAACAAAAAGAAATTAATTATTCATTTATCAGTCGGTTTAGCATTTTAATGTAGTGACTTATAAAGACAAAGGAATAAATGGCTGAAACTTTCTTGTTGATTCTAGATATTATTCACAAAATAGAAAAATCGTGTCAATCTTAATTCAGCCAATAATACCTAGGATCAATAATGATTTTGGAAATGTAATGCTCTGCATATCGAACCAAAGCCATAATTATGTTGTTAATTAATAATTTAAAATTAAAAAAGAATTAAATACTAGAATTTTGAAAAATAGCAAACATTTATTATCTATTTATAAATCATCTATATAATCATCACTTGCTTTTGAACAGGTAATTCAGCATTTTCTTGCTGTTGCTGGTTTGGTTGAGTTTCTTCGGCAGGTTCTGGTTCCTTAACTTCAGGTGTTTCTGATTTGGGCTGTTCTTCTACTGGTTCTGGCTCTGTGGCTTATTCTCAACTGGGGCGAATGTAACTGTCTGAAGAGGTGCAAGTTCTGCTTGGATCTTTGTTAAATCAAATAAAACATTAGCTGATGGGACTATTGAGTTAGGAGGTTGTGTGGCTAACCTAGATAAAATTTTTGTAGCCTTTTGGAGCTGATAAACCCATTCTTCGTCTTTTGTTCTTGGAATATTTTTGTATTTACGCGCAAACCATATTTCTTGCTCTTGTGCAATGAAATGGATAACACTTCCTTCGTTGTTGTAAGTTTTTGCATTTTTCCATACCAAATTTACATCATCAGCCCATTGTTCAATCGACTTATATTCATTTGAGTTTAATTTTCGCTTAATTGTTGTTAAATCAATTGGATGTTTGATAATTTTGTAATAATCAGGCGCTCCATCACGTTCTGGGTCGACTTTGTCCTTAAAAAATGACAAAGGTCCTTATGGATCATTTTGTTCGTTAGATGTAGACATTGACGCTTTTCAAAATCATTCATTCTTGTTCGTGTCACTTTTTATTTACCCCATTTTTAATTTTTTGAACCCTTTAATCTTATAAAAAAAATTATTTTTTTCTAAAAAAAATGTTGCCTCAGCAATCAAGGTTACAATTAGTTGGATTTGATGATGGACGTGCTAACAAAGGTGGATTTAGAGTTGCTTCCCATAGCAGCATGCGTAATAATATTAAACCCCATCATATTTTTGGAAATTGGAATAGATACTTCAAACTTCCTTATATTTGCTTTTTAGAAGTTAGCTTGTTTTGCAGTTACTTCCTTTCACTCTGTTTCATCAAAAAGGTGCTGTTGCATTTACTCTTGATTTTTCAAAATCTCTTTCATCATTCTTTTTAAAAGATATTCGAATTCACAACCCGCCAGCAGGAATTACAGTTGGTGTTGCCCAATTTATTATCACAAAGACTTATCTGCTGTTATAAATACAAGTTTACAGAGATTTTTTCGAATTTCCTGTATCATTTCCATGTGCATATCCAATTATTGTTAATGACAATGGCAATGTCAAGATAGAACTTAAAAATGGTACTGAAATCGACTTAGAATTTAATGAAAACAACATTGAACAAACATCAAACATAATTAAGCGTTATTTTCAATACTTTAATAAGATTACAGAGTCTTGTATCTATCACGTACAAGTTGCTCATCAAGTTCAAGATACAAGAATGAATCTTGAAGTTTTTGTTGAATTCACACATGATTACGACACAGATACGATATTTATGGACTTATCACATACCAGATTTCAAGAAAAATTCGATCTTACGTCACAAAATTCAATTCTTTCAACATTTGATTTTTCAATTCCAATTTTCATCGGAATTCTCAACATTTGTGCACTAATTATCATGGGAAATCAAACATCAACCTTTACAGATACTGCTATGCCAAAGCAACTGATTCTGGACAGCGACCATTTGATGTTTTTTGGAAAAAGTTCGATAAATGGGATTTATTTGCTTTGTTGACTCATATTGTATCCATTGCTGCAAGTATTATGTATATTTTGGTTGGCCAAGACATAGAAGAAACTATTCCTCCAATAGTTTATTTAATGGCTGCTTCTTCTTTCTTGCATTCGATGTTGTTGGTCAGATATCTCAAATTGAAGCCATCAGCATTTCTAATTTTGATGGTTTTCTACAATTCGGCCATTAAAATCCTTCAATTCCTTGTTGGATGTTTAACTGTTTTCATTGGTTTCCTTTGCTTTACTAATTGTATTTTTGGTCATTTGAGTGAGAATTTTGCTACTGCTATGCAAGGATCAGCATTTCTCTTCTGTACAATGCATGGTGATTCATTAAAAGACTTCTATGATACAATGGTGTTGCAATATGATATTAATTACTATTCGGATTCTTCACTGCAACATTTTGGATCTTGTTCGCACTTTCTATTTTGTATAACATCACTATTTCAATCGTTCAGGAAATGATGTCAATTGAAGAATACAAGCTCGCTCACAAAGACGACGAACAGACTATGCCTGCATTCAACATCATTTTCAATGATCTCGCACTGCTTTCTGCAAAGCATTCATTATAATATTATTTTATACCTTTTTGTTTATTAAAATATATCTGTCTATCACAAAAATCAAACTTTTTTATAATGCTTTAAAATGTTGGGAAGATGCTTTCTGTGATAGGTTATAGCTCTGGCAGAAATTGATGACTGATTTAGTTTACCAATAGCATTGAAAATGACCATTTTCAAGTTTTACCGGAGTAAAATGAGGAGCATTAAGCCTAAATCCTTCGTAAATTCAAAATTGACCAAACTTTTTTTATATTTTGAAACAAGAAAATAAAATTGATTATTTTGAAGAAACAATTTGAAACAAGGATACATTTCAATCATATTGGCATCATTAAATAGTAGCTTTAAAGTTACCATTTATCTTTTCTCAGTTGAATATAATGAAAAATAATAATGGAGAAGCTCCTCTCATTTCAGCACTATAAATATCTCTTGATACAATATCAAAATATAGGATGATTTAATATCACATTTATCATATATATGACAATAAAGTCAATTTTACAATACATTTCCTGACTTTGGTTATATTATTCAAGAGTTCTTTGCAAACAATCGTTTCTCTAATTCTTTTATATATTATCATGAAAAAAATGTAATGAAATCAGAATGTTAACC